GAACTTAAATACACCCAGGACTAATCACATAAACGTGAGGAGGGAGGAGAAAACACAGAGGTACCAGGTGAACACAATCGGGTAATCGGGGAGGGAAACAGACAGAAAGCAAACAGGCAGGAAACGGGGGTGAACACTTTACAAAATAAAACAGGAAACCCAAAGATAGAAAAAGACAAGAAAAACACCAACACAGACAGATCCTAACAGCTGGGTTGGTTAAGAAAAACATGAAAAACATTTGCTTTATTGTATGTTATGCCTCTCTGTTAACATCTGGTTCCAATTTGGTGAAAATCTCATATCCAAAGATACATTGGATAAGGCCAACACAGCCCCCTTCAGAGAAGCTTACATTTTCACTATATTCGGTTAAAAGTTCCAAACATTAAAGGTCCCATGTCATGGCCATTTCTACTGATCATAATTCTATTGTTGAGATATACTAAGATAGATTTATATTGTGCAATTTTCCAAACTCACATTGGTTTCTCATACAGCATCTCTGTAAAGTGTGTGTATTCACCAGGTATTCACTCTCTATCCTAAACGGCTTGTTGGAGCTCCTGCAACCCCCCCCCCCCCTCCTTATGAGCCTAGTGTGCTCTGATTGGTCGGGACCAGAGGTTGCGCTAGACTTTTTCACTGCCCATCATTTTGACGGACAGGATCGTAAAATTTCCGTCAAAATTCAGTATTACCCGTCGGCCTTTACACTCTGGGGGGGAGAGAGAGAACTGTCAACCGGGGGGGGGGGGGGGGAGAGCACGGTCGTGAACTGTCAACGAGGGGCGGGGCGCACGCTTGTGAACTGTTAGCGCCGTGTTATGCATGCCCACTGCACCTCGCGGGAGTGCGCACAGCATAAAGCCAAAACTCACAGACATTTCAATGATTTGTACGGCATAGTTGGGTTTGGAAACGGTATAATTTCCTTTTTGGCAGGCATGCTTAACACCGGAGCCTCGCTGCAGGGAAACTTTGGCGCTGTTCCGAGTTTGTTCTAATCTGTCAAAATGACGGACTGCTTTCAGATTTTTCCGTCATTGTTAAAAAAAATCCGTCATAGACGGAAAATATTCTTTTTATAACGCTGTGAGAATGGGTCTGCGGAGAGCATTTCTCCGCCATCCCAACTCGTCTATTACCAACCAGGGAGCTTTATGCAAGTCAATGGGGCTCCCTGATAGTTGAAAATGTATGCTAAAGGTCCCCCCACTGTGTTTGATAGTGACGCCAAGGGATCCTGGTGTGTGAGGAGCTCCGCGGATTGGTCCATTTTGGTTCCGGGAACCACATGATGTCATGCGGTTCCCGGAAGAAACAAATGGAGAAAGAGAAATCTCCAACGAGGCATATGGGGCAGCATAGACAGGTATTTTCTGTGTTTGAGTTTTACTCGCTACAGGGTGTACTTTGAGGGTTTGTGACTCTGCAGACCGTTTACATGCATAACAACTTTCATAACACACAAGGGGACAGGTAATAACCAGAAAAGCATGACATGGGACCTTTAACCAAATAAAATAGTTTTGCAGAAATGTTTTTGTATACATCCATTCATTTAATAAACTACACATATAATAGTAATGAAAAATGAAAAGACATGGTTGTGCTTTGTTCTACCTCGGGAAGCAGTATGTCGGTATTTCTCTTTGGGGGCATTAGTTCCTCTTCTAGTGTTGTTACTTACTTTGGATATAATACATCCATGCTCTGGACAGGTCCACTGTCAGTCTGCAGGGTGAGGGGGGCGGATTCAGAGAGAAGCCTTGCCGTGAGTGGCTCTGTATAATATGATGCTGTGACATGATTGGCTCTGTCCATTGTGAACTTGCGGCATGATTGGCTTAGTTCCAATCTCACATTGGACAGCGAGTATCATGATTGGATGATATATTGGGGAGTGATGCTGTAAGCTTGAATTGTATTACTTTGTCAGCAGAGGGCGCTGCTCATTCTAAAATATACACAGAATTCCTGAAAAAATGACCCAAATTCTAACCTTATGTACCTAAATGCCAAATGAGTCTTAAATTCTGTTTTCAGGATTTCTTCAACACAGAACGATGTTAAAATAGAGGGTAATTTATTAGGGCGAAGCTATTTCAAAGTCAAGTCCGTCATTATGTTATTGACAAGTGCTACTTTGGTGTAGACCAATTAGTGTTTTTGTGTTTTGTTGTCCTAACTTTAACCCTTTTTAAAAGGGTGTTTTTAGTTAATAGAAGTTTTTTTTCATGTTTTGGTCGCCTAACATTTCATGTTCAGTGTATGGTGTGTCCTTTCTCCATCCTCTTGTGTCATTTCTGATTGCAAAAAAAACAAGATAGTGCAGCAAAATTCACAAAATGTAAAACATGAATTCATAAACAAATGGGTGACATGGTGAATACATCCAACGACATCCAAATCAATATCGTATAGAAGACAGACACCAAAAAGACATTTCGGGGAAGCTGGGTTAATCGGAACATGAGAGTACCCAGGTACAGACAGAGAGAAGGAAGAAGTAAGATGTCCCCCGACAAACTAAGCCTATATCAGCAAAACTAGGGGCTGAATCTAATCAGTCCTAACTATAAGCTTTATCAAAAGGAAGGTCTTAAGCGCACTCTTAAAAACGGATAGGGTGTCTGCCGCCCGAACACAAACTGGAAACGTATCCTATTTGTTAAAATGACACTGAATGTTGGTTTCATACATATTGGTATTTTATTACAATTGTACTGGCATAAACAGTGCATTGGCCAATCATTTACTATTGTTGCAGTCCCTCTATGTGGCCACAGGATGACAGAAAAGAGTCAGTTCCACTGAGGTCAAGTCAAAAACCAACTATACCAAGTCCTCACTATGGTGAACTTCAGAATGCAACATTACATTTAAACAGATTTCTCTCCTTAGTGGTGAAGTCATTTCTAAATGTTTGTTACATTTTGATATTTGTTTTTGCTTTTCAAACAGACACCACATTTGTTCATCTTTAATACATGTTTTTAATCATAATTATTAAAATATATGTTTTTATTTATTTACAAGTCTAAAAAAGTTATGACATATTTAAAAGCAATGTTTTATGTTGTAGCTTTGTCATGTTCTTTGTGACTTTTTTCTAACTTCTTCACATGATGGTTGGCAGAATTGCTGCTTGGTGTTTTGATTTCCAACATGTAGGAATATTGAGGTTACGCTTAAATCTCTGATATCCTGCGGTGGTTTTTAATATATTAATTAACAGAGTTCTTAAATGAGGACCACATTCAGATTTTTTTAAACGTTGTATATTTTATTTAGTACATCAAATAAGTACATATACATAGTAAGACATGCTCTAAATAAGTGTCAGCATTATGAAGTAGGTGAATATATAAAGTGACTGATCCAGAAAAAACAAAACTACTATACAAAAGTGTACATTTGAAAATGAGCAGTTGTAGTTTTATACTTGCCAATCATAATATTATGGTGAAATACATATTTAATTACATTTATGATAATAAATACATCAACTAATGTATATTCCATAGGATTGTTGTTTTTTGCAGACTTACATTAGAGAGAGGGAACTGAACTGAAATAATCTGATAACAGGATACACCCATGTCAACAGTTCTGGCCATATTTTGAACATCTTTGTGTTTTATTTAATCTGCAGGTGGAGATTTGTGGTTAATCATTGTTTTTTGAATGTATTGCACAATATTCTAGGCATATTTGAAATAATTCTCAACAATATAAGCACAAATGAAATATGTATGAATAAGATTTCATTAGAGCTGAAGCAGTTGAGTAACTGATTGATTCAATTGACAGAAAATGGAGGTAATCTCCTTATCTCTGTTTTGTATCACAGTAATCCAAATATCTATGCCTTTTGAACTGTTTGTTTGATTGTACTTCTGTTATCTAACATGACTGTTAGAGTACAGTTTAAGGCGCCCTATTCTGCTCATGTTCAGGTCTTTATTAGTTTAGTGTCTCTACTGAGACATGTCTCCATGCTTTAATGTTCAAAAAGCTCCTTATTTTTCTCATACTGCCTGTGCTGCAGCACCTCTTTTCACCCTCTGTCTGAAACCAGAGCCCAGTCTCTGATTGGTTAGCTGGCTAGCTCTGTTGTGATTGGTCAACCGCTTAGAGCTATCCTGCCCCTTAGCCTATCATGTGTTGAAGCGCTCGCCAATAGAAGCACGAGTGTTAGATAGTGGTGGAACTATGATACAGAAGTAAACAAAGGACTACCATCAAGGTTTTTCAGACGGTGGGGGAGAGAAACTCCCTCTGGAGGGAACACAGGGATTTTAGCCTTTGCAGACCATTTACATGCACAAACACCTATAACACACCACATGAAAGGGAAAACCAACATTTACACGATAAAGATAATCAGCAGGGTGAGAAAAGTGAAAAGGTTAATGAAAATCCTTCAAATACTGAGGAATGCACTTTTAAAATAGCATGACTTTGCAATGTCTGAGCATTCTGGCCAGCTCCTGAAAGCACTACTGTCTCTGTGGTGTACTGCAGGAACGTGGTGGATGTTAGGACCTGGGGGCCTTCTCTCCCAGTGTGTGTGTGTGTGTGTGTGTGTGTGTGTGTGTGTGTGTGTGTGTGTGTGTGTGTGTGTGTGTGTGTGTGTGTGTGTGTGTGTGTGTGTGTGTGTGTGTGTGTGTGTGTGTGTGTGTGTGTGTGTGTGTGCGTGCGTGCGTGCGTGCGTGCGTGCGTGCGTGCGTGCGTGCGTGCGTGTGTGTGTGTGTGCGTGCGTGCGTGCGTGTGTGTGTGTGTGTGTGTGTGTGTGTGTGTGTGTGTGGTGTGTGTGTGTGTGTGTGTGTGTGTGTGTGTGTGTGGTGTGTGTGTGTGTGGTAGGGTGGGGTTGATGACGCATTGAAAAAGAACTCAGATCTTTTTGCTCAACTGGTTTTGTGAACTCTGGCAGTGGGAGTGTCCTCCTGCCTGAATAGCTGCTCTCTCTCTCTCTCTCTCTCTCTCTCTCTCTCTCTCTCTCTCTCTCTCTCTCTCTCTCTCTCTATCTGTGCCTTCAGCTCTCTCGCCCTGCCAGCCTCTCCTGTCTCTCCACAGCATTAGCAGAAGTCACAGTAAGTACTAAAAACTGCTTCTTGTCATGATTGTTACTGTATATTTCAGTCTATATACAGGTCTGATGTGCTTAGTGAACTGCCGGTTTTATGATGTGTGTGTTTATGTTGTTGAGCCGTATTGTGTGTTTGTGCTGAAACCTGACACTGTACCGGAAGGTAAAGGCTTGTTGTGAAGCTTAGAGCTGGAAAATACAGAATAAAATAGGGGGGAAAGAATCCAGTCCTTTCAAAAATGTTGCTTTGGTGAAAACAGACAGGGAGTGGCTGTAAAATGTATTTCAATAAGTTCAGTTATTAACAAAGTAACATGTAAAAAGCAACTAAATCAGACTGTCAGACGGATATGAAGGAAATATTTAGATCTGTTGTTTATACAGATCTACCACAGTGAAAAATACTTCATAGCAAGTAAAAAAATCATGCATTCAACTACTGATTTACAAATTGTAGAAGCAAAATGCACTGAAGCCTTCAAAGTAAATACACAGCATAAATAGTTCAGAACAGCTCCTTGCAAAGTGTTATAATATATATTTTCTCACAACAAGTATTTTATTAAAAGGCAGTTAGTCGATTAAGTTGTAAATTGAAAACTATTTGGATGACAGATTGTTAATTAAGACTTATAAAATAAACATGTTCAAAGGTTTTAAAATTGGAGAATTCTCTGCTTTTCCTGGTCATTTTTAAATAAGTTATTGTAAATTCTTGATTTACACCTTGGTAAACCTAATATTTGACTTCAACATTTACACAAGAACAAGGAATCTGATATTGTTACTTTTTGCTTCACAATATTGCAACCCAGTCTCATGGCATTTCGTGTTCACCAACACGATTTTTAATCTATTGATTCGTGTTCACCAACACGATTTTCCCCTTTTTTTCGTGTTGCACAGCACGATTTTAAAAGCAATGTATTTCTACTACGATTTTAAAAGCAATGTATTTCTACTGGTAATGTGTTTCGTGCCTGCAGCACGTCTTTTTCTCTGGTCGGGTCAATATCAAGCCACAATTATTGCTTTTATTTTAAATCGTATAATTTCGGACTTTTGTTGCCGTCTCTGAGGAAAATAAATGGGATACTGAAATCTGTATTTTTTCAATCTTTTTTTCCTTCTAATTTGTTATTCTTTTCAAAATAACACACTGTTATTTACTTACCAATAACACACAATTATCCTTGCTTTTATTTATTGGTTTGATTCCATAACCTCTGGCTTTTTTGGCGTCCGTCAGGAACTGAATTTCAAAATAAAAATAACCGGAAACAGACGTAGGCCTATAAGGGACATTTCGAGCATCATTGCGATTGTCAACATTTCTGAGTTTAGGATGGCCGAAGACACTACACTACCCATAATCCCCAGCTATCGTTTAGGACTACAGTCCCCGTGATTAATCTTCAAGCTCTGGGATTGGATGTTGGAGTGGCAGTGCGCCAAGGTTACGCCGAGCGTCAAACAGCTGTGTGAAATGGAACGAAACCACGCCAGATTATCCAAAACTGGAATCGAACGCCTCCCCAGAACTACACATGCTGGCTATTGTGTTTCGCAAAATGTTCTATGGGACGTCTCTACTGAACGTTTTCGTTTTTCCCACAATTAGAAGTTGCCAGTATTAAACACATTGGTGTTATCAAATTTAAAACATGTAATTACTAAATGGGTGAAAATCGCTTGTGTCCATAATGGGCAGCATTAATATATAGCATTAATATATACCCACATGACAGCTCATTGATACTTTGTAATTCTACTCCACTATAATTCAGAGGTTAACCTGGTATTTTTACTCCACTACACTTATTTGAGTTACTTTGCAGATTCTGATTAATGATGTGAAATATAAACAACCCTTAAAGCAGACTTTAGTTACACCTGAGTAAAATTCAGGGAAGGTGATTGTCAAGTGCCAACAATCAGGAGAGATATTTGATAGTTGGTGCTTGAGAAGACTAAACATGTATCTGCAATTGACATGAATGGAAACGAGTAATAAAGTATATTCATTACTCGTTATTCTCTACTAATAGTTCATTAAAAACTGTATATTATGGCTATTTTGCACATCCCTTTCAAGATTTCAAGATTTTCAAAGGTTTATTGACATATCATATACACAACTACGGTGTAGTTATGCAATGAATGAAAAACTTGGGTCACAGGTTCCTCAACAGTGCATTACAAGACATCTATCAATATGTGTGTACCTCCACCATTAAACTGTCATATTCTGCAGATTTCTTATTCTATCTACACATAAGAGTATAATTCATATGTATAATATCAGTTAAAATAAGTGCTTCAACATAGTTAACATTGCAGGAAAGCAATATATTAGACGTTAAGTACTTTGTCAGGCTTAATATTTATCTGTAGATACCCCCAACGTCTTTTTCTTATTTAAAAGAAGACCTTAATCAGTTATTTAATGTTTAAATAAAGGTTAATTCGTTTTTCTGTTTTGCACCTCCTATTAATATCTTTGTACATTCTGCACTAAACTGTTTTATTGTAGAGATCACTTATAGTATCTTCTTGATTTTTTATATTCTATATTTCTATCACAGACCTTCTACTTTCCCCCTATGAAAGTATGTACTCTTAATATTTTTTTAATCAAATATAACACGTAAAAACAATAATTCAATAACGTGCTTTAACCACTAGGCGGTGCACACAAGGTACACACAGCCATAATAACTTTTTGTATTATTAGTGTAGGACACTTATGTATGTACAACATCTGAAGATGTGTAGTTTTATTCATGTTTTCACATAATTTTACAGCATATTGCTATACTATTTCAGACTCAGTATTTACATTCTTACATTCAAAATTCAATTCAATTCAAATCAGTAATATCTTTAAAAACTACAAGTCCTTTTATATCAGCTGTGCACCGTTATGGTGTAAATATAACCTATCTATGAATTAGATTAAATCTAAAAGTCAGCCGGATTAGTGTTGATACTGCAAGGAGACGTATTGTGTGAAGATAAATTTAAGATGTTGTTTAATTGTTGATATATTTATGATCCACGTCAAGTATTCAGTTTCGGCGGCATTTCTTCAGTTTTTCCAAAGGTCTTCTCATCAGGGCTCTATAAATAAAGAACTACGGCAGATCTGTAATATGTAATGCAGCCGAACCGTGTATTACAATGCCGTTATGTGATGACTTTCAAAGAGAAAATCAAGAACACTCGGAATTAAGTATTATTTTATTATTTTAAAATGTTTTCCGGATTTCATATAATATAAACACCAAATCCCAGCATGCATTGCGGCTAAAACATCCAATCAGCGAGCTTAAACCATAGCTGAGGATCTTGGGTATTCGCTCAAAATGCCTACGTCTGTTTCCGGTTATTTTTATTTTGAAATTCAGTTCTTGACGGATGCCAAAAAAGCCCGAGATTATGGAATTAAACCAATAAATAAAAGCAAGGATAATTGTGTGTTATTGGTGAGTAAATAACAGTGTGTTATTTTGAAAAGAATAACAAATTAGAAGGAAAAAAAGATTAAAAAAATACAGATTTCAGTATCCTGAGGTTCTGATTTTCCTCACAGACAGAAACAAAAGTCCGAAATTATACGATTTAAAATAAAAGCAATAATTGTGGCTTGATATTGAGTAAGAACATGTTTTTATGAACCACACAGCTTCCGGTCTTCCACGACCCGACCGTAGAAAAAGACGTGCTGCAGGCACGAAACATACTACCAGTAGAAATACATTGATTTTAAAATCGTGCTGTGCAACACGAAAAAAAGGGGAAAATCGTGTTGGTGAACACTAAATGCCATGAGACTGGGTTGAATATTGTGATGGACAGTTTTCTGTTTTACAGAAGAAACTGATTAAAGAACACATAAATGAACATAATACACATGTGGGTTGTATAATCTCAAAAAACACAGGCTGCCTACAGTCTTAAATAATTTTTTCAAAAGCCATAGAATTTTATTTTCTGACTAAAATCTATCAACACAACGGTACATCAGTCTAGTGCTAGAGTTATGTAACAACTCTAGCACTAGATGTTCCGTTGTGTTGATAGATTTTATGCTTTTGTATAAAAATGTATCTATTTCACACAGGTAAGTTCTTGCATCACATCTTTTGTTCATACCTGATGTTTTCCTTTTTTTTGGAACAGACGACAAAATGAATCTCGCGAAAAGACTGATCGGAGGCATCATTGATGTTGTAAGGTGAGCACAAACTGTTTTCAAGGAGGCCTACATCTAAGTGCTAAGCTAGGCTAACCATGTTCTGGGCCTATCGCTGTATCGAGATTGATCTTCTAACGGCTGTTCTCTTTCTCATGTCTTTTTTCTTTCTCCGACAGCAACATCGATCCGGCTCAGTTTGTGCCATCATCACCTGTAAGTACAGACGCCAGGAAATACTGGGTTTAAAACCTGATGAATCAGCAAAAGCTCCTTCTCATGCTAACACATCCTATTTGTCTAAAGTATTTGTTAGTCCTTCTCAAACAAATATATTAACCATAACGTCTCACAGATCATATATCTCATCTGACCCAAATGTATCACTTTTTAAATGTCGACCTGGTCCCATGTTATGCTCCAATCTCTAAAGGTGTGTGTGTGTGTGTGTGTGTGTGTGTGTGTGTGTGTGTGTGTGTGTGTGTGTGTGTGTGTGTGTGTGTGTTGTGTGTGTGTGTATGTGTGTGTGTGTGTGTGTGTGTGTGTGTGTGTGTGTGTGTGTGTGTGTGTGTGTGTGTGTGTGTGTGTGTGTGTGTGTGTGTGTGTGTGTGTGTGTGTGTGTGTGTGTGTGTGTGTGTGTGTGTGTGTGTGTATTTGCAGCCTCCTCAACGCAGACCTCTAAACTTCGCTGAGGCTCACGAGAATGATGAGGAGAAACAGTTTCGGAGAGTTTTCCAACAGCTGGCTGGAGAGGTGAGTCCATAATATTGCTTATGTATGTATTATTATCATTAACGCGTCTTTGGGTTCAAGAAAAGCGCTATAGAAATAAAATATATTATTATTATTATATTCCTGAATGCTCTCCTGTCTGCATACTCTGCATTCTTTGTTTTTAGTTTGAGTTTTTCCTGTAAATCTGTGGTGCCCACCCATTTCATCTCTATCCTCCCAACACACATACGCCTCCATAATGAGTTGGAAAGTAACAGGAACAGGGAGACACAGATATTAACCTCACTCAGATTTCACGTTCTGCTGAAAACTGAAATTTAACCGATGACTTCCTACCGTGAAACACTGTACAGTATATTGTTGCTAATTTCGTCAAGTTATCCGACATTTGTGTAAATTGTCATAATAATGCTGCGTTTCACACAACTCATCACAATTCCAGAGCTCCTTCCAGGTGTTCTACTTATAAACTTCAGTCAAATGCATGTACCTGATCCCCCCCGACTGAAGAAGCAAAAGCCGTATAAGAAATGGACATACTGTAGTCACCAATACATCCACATTTGTTTATTGACAACGTTTTTCAAACTTCGATATGGAAGTTATTTTGTCGATATTTTAAAGACGTTATATTACATGTCATTTATAGCTGATGCTTTTATCCAAAGTGACTTATGAACACTTCAAACCATCGGCATGCCGATGGGAGTATTCTGGAGTATCTAGTATCTAGCCCAAGTACACTTTGGCATGTTGGCAGCAGGGTAAGGGTTACTAGTGAGGATCGAACCACTAGTCTCAGGTCCCGTCCACACGGAGACGAAACGGATTTCGAACCGAAGTCGATTTTAAAAAAGTCTAGCATTAGCAGCTAATGAAAACTCAGTTTTTTACATAAAAATGGAATTATGGATTATCAATACTTTTTTCAAAGTGACACACACTTTGGATTAACCTATGGATTAACCTTCAGCCGCGTTTTTCTCGGTTTTGATCAGAATAACAGCAAAAGGTGAGCATAGCTTTAGATGTTTTGCTACCTCAAGCTATGTCGTGTGATGTCTGTATTTGCTTCCCCTGTCGCGAGTTCTGATACTTATATTTCTAGAATCTGTGGAATCTCAGCTTGTTTGTGCATATCCGATAAGTATATCGATTGATTTATACCTAGAGTGTGTTAGCATTTCAGGGCTCATTTAGACGCTTCTTGTGAGACTTGTGTTTTGTTTCGGTAAACATGGTTCATATCATCAGTTAGCTGAATTTCTTCCTGTTAAATGAGCAGGACACATGATTAGTTTATTACATTTTAAAAAGCCCTGAGTCACAGTTTCGTGAGAAAAAAACAGGTTAAATGGGAATTAAATCATTTTAAGTAATTTTGAGTGTTCCCAAAGCCCCGGTGTTCTGCAGTTTGTGTGGGCCTACTGTACTGTTGCACAGTTTATACTGTAGAAACTATGTCCAGAACAAGGTGTTTGGAAGTTTTGGAAGATTCATAGCTAACCACACTGAAGATTATGGAGGTATTGATCAGTCTTCTCATATTTTTAAGCCTCAATTTAAAAATAACATCACCAGAAGTCATAATTGAAGGGGTCTTTTCTCAATTTACCGGGGAAGCATCCCCCCGGACCCCCCTAGTATTGTTTGATCACCATTTCCACAGCCCCACCTAAAATATTTTCCACCAGCCGCCACTGAAATGATCGTATAGAGCATACACATGAAGCCGCAAGCGTTTAGTCTCCAGACTTACCCACTTTGGGAGCCGTTTTCAAAGTGTATCGGCTCCGAAGCCGCGGCTCCGTTTCGGCTTTGTGTGGACGAACCGTCTATACGATAAAGAACTTTAGCGGATACAACTGAAATCGTCTCCGTGTGGACGGGGTCTCAGATTGGTAGACACCCAATTTGAACAGACTGGCAATTTATGGCCCAAGAAAGGTTTCAAATGATAAACCACGAGGGCTTTCAGAATGGATAGAAAAAGGTCATACATTTATACTAAAGGAAGTAGAAAGGTCAGACTTTGCTTCCAATTTTTGCTTTTCTCAGTCTTGGGAGAGGGGTTGTCGCGGTATCAGATTTTCACTACATGATAATCGTGGTCAAAATATTTCACATAACAACATTATGTCCATCGAACATTTGAAAAAAGTTAAAACAATAATAATATCAGTCAAATGTATATTGAACTTTGCGTATTGTGTCCTTTGTCTCTTTTTTTGGCAAATGAATTACAAAATAATAGTGTTTAATAGAGAGGAGTCCTGGTTATTTGCTTAAAACACATTTCAAATAGCTCACAATTAAATGATAGCTTTTTTTCTATAAATATTTGTTTTCATTAAAGAATCTCTTGGCATTAGTAGTTTTAATAAAGTTAATAAGATGCTTAGAACGAGCGTCCAATGTCAATTTTACATTGCTTTGAAAACCTTGAAAAAGAAAACTGAACTAGCAAAAAAAAAACTGTTGCTGCTTACATTTAGATAGTTTATTAGTCTATCATAGTATTTTGATCTAGCTAGCATTTTTCTATCTGAGGAGTAAGTGTTTTAGTTGGTTCTATTTCGTTTTTGTGTAATTCAATCGTGTCCTTAAAAGTGTGTACATACTTCAAATGTCAATGCAGTGATCTTTGTGGTAACTTTCTACGCCTATTTAACCGGAGGTATGATACATTCTGCCGCACCTTGTTTCAGTTTCTTATTTTGAAATGTATTTGGAAAACAAGTATTGGGAAGTAAATATGTGGAGGCTTTTCTCTGTTTGATTACTCAACTGAATGTTTACCTGATTTGCCTGCTCAGCAAGTTTTAAAGATGTGTCTGTCTGTTTATCAGTGGCTATTTCTCTCTGCTCTTCACCTGATGCTTCATCACCTCACCACACCTGTCTGCATGCTGTCGGCTGCATTCCAAACCCCACCCTCTGCTGTCCCAACCCCTTTGTCTCACTCTGTTCTCGCTCTTACTCCTTTATGCCCGGCAGGTTCTGTAGCTTCTACCTGTCCAATGTACCTTTAGGCAGCCTTCCAATCTTACCTTCAGTTAATATCATTAACAAAATAATAAACTTGACTTTAGTGTTAGGCAAGGCAAGGCAAGTTTATGAATACAACACCTTTCAACACAAGGCAATTCAAAGTGCTTTACAAAAATAAAAAACATTAAGATTACATTATAAAATGGTATTTTAAACAGTGATTGAAAAGCAATTGAATGTCCCCTACATACTCTTCCAGTCTATTTGTAGCTTATAAAATGAAATGGTCCCACAATCTAGTTGGAGATTAGATTAAAATGTGGAAACTCCAGGGGTTGTCCCGAACACTTCTCTTTCCTGTGTTTGCTGTCAGATAACTGCATCTCTGTGCATGCCCACAGAACTGTATGTGCCTTATTAATATAAACCTGGTCGGCCCTGCCCTCCTGGCACGGATAGATCACAGAATGGGCCTACCGGGCAGGCCCAGGAGCCAAAAGTGACTCCATTGGCTTTCATCAACAAAAGGACTCCTTATCCTAATTCCAAACGGACCCGTACACCCTCCCACTGCGTGACGGGGTGAACTCTGCCTATAGTCTCTCTCTCAGCTGAATTAGGCTCTTTCTTTAAGCTGGAGAGTTTAAATACAGTGGCAAGCTTCGGAACAAACTCCCCTCTCCCTGGCAGAAACGGGACCTGTAGTAACTTTTTCTGTAACCGTGATTTAGAAATCAGCATTTCTTGGACAAAAAATAACAATAGTGATAAAACTCAAAAACTTTAGAGGTGTTTCCTTTTTTATAAACCTCCTCATCAAACATGTACCATTTTGTAGACTAGACATGGCTATATACAGTATGATCCTAGCTAAAGATAAAATGACCATGTGATATTGCAAAACAGCTGCAAGTGAGACTCACATTGACTTTGAACAGGGAGCAAAATCCCTATGAAGAGACATAGCGATACAAAAGGAAATGCAAGACAACAACAGATACAGCTACATAAAGAGCAAAACCTTGAGGAGAGCCTGGGTTCTAATCTGAACTACTGTCAGATGCAGTGGCGTTTCTATATGTGCAAAAGTGGTGGGGCACAAAAAACTTAGATGTCTATATAAGCTTCTGCAGTGATGTTCATGGCTGGTGAGGCACTCTTCAGGTTTACAAATATTATATTTTGACCTAAATCAAAATATAATATTATTTTCAAAAGCTTTTTTTGTCTGATGCTTCAATTAATTTTAAACAGACAGTTCAACAGAAGGATACCCAAAAAATGTAATTTTATCATTTAAATATTGAATTGTTCTCTCTTAGTAAGATCCCATTTTCAATACAATTGCAGTCTTACCTTGACTTGAAGATTAAGTCCATTTGCCTATCCCTCTGGACAAAAATCTCTATTACTTTTTTGTAAAAGTCCTCCCTATCTTCTTGTAGTTTCAAAAGTCTATCATAAATCTAATCGATAGATTTATGATTCGAAAATGATAAAAGTAGGGTAGACATGTGGATATTATCCGGCTGAACAAAACGTGCATTTATCTAACAGATACGTTTCCCACAGATCTTATTTGGAGCTATTTTCTAAAATCCTATGGAGAAATCTCATTGCTTTTTTGTGGAGGGAAGCCATGCGCAGCTTACTTCCTGGTTTTAGGACGCGTCTCTCTCCTCCTCTTCACACACCACACTTTTCGCGGCACACGTACTTACAGCCAATCAGCTCTGAATTATGTGAGATGACGTATGGTGGGGATGGCAGCACTATGCCCCTATGGTCATTATTTTTTGCCACACACATTAAATAGGAAAATACTCTGAGCATGCGCAGTGTAGTTTTTATAGTCACCGTTCACTTAGACAGTGAGAGGGAGGGGCATGATCGGGTTTTGTCCCACATGGCTCTAAACAGCTCAATAGGCACACACTGTAGACACTAATTAGAAGAACACAGACTAAAACAGCAATGTACAGACGAATCAGATGATTAAACATGATCTTAAAATATATTTTATATATATTTTTATTTATTTTTTGCATTTTGTTGTGATCATTATTATAATACTTTCTGCTGACACTGTGCCACCTGCCCCTAATGACCAGTCGCCACTGGTCAGATGGATGAAAATAACATACATTTATGTGGGTAAAAACGCTGTCAAAGGCATATGATAGAAGACATTTGCAGGAAAACAACGTTTTACATGAATAGATGATAAACTACTGTCCAATTAGTATTAGTCTAGCTTTGTCTTGTACACACAGCTGTTAAATTATGTAGTCTTTGTTTCTTTTCAGTAAAATTCCAACTAGATCCCACTAATTAATCAGCCCTTATTGTATTGATGAGAGAGAGAGAGAGAGAGAGAGAGAGAGAGAGAGAGAGAGAGAGAGAGAGAGAGAGAGAGAGAGAGAGAGAGAGAGAGAGAGAGAGAGAGAGAGAGAGAGAGAGATATAGAGAGAGAGAGAGAGAGAGATGAGAGAGAGAGAGAGAGAGCTCTTTCTCTGCATTCTTGCCATTGTCTGGCAGGGCGGCACTTAAGCTGAGGGGCGTAGTGTGTTTGCGTGCGTTTATGTATGTGTGTTTTTCTCTGACTCATCAGAGGGGTGTGTGCACCAGTTATTCTAGATCACAGGATTTCAGTGGGTGGATTTTCTAAATCAACAGCAGTAATGAGGCTGATGATGAAGAGGATGAAGACGGCTGTAGTAGTAAAGTAACCCCACCCACCTAGCCTTTTGTTCTTCTTAACTCACAATGCACAACGTTTCACCATTAAATCATAAATACTCGTTACCCAAAGATATCATGAGATTGCATGGCAGTGTTTTGGCAACGGGCAGAAAAGCTAAGAATTAGGAGATGTATGTTTCAGAAGTGAGTCAGAAGCTGGAAAAATATGAAAGGAAACAGCTTGAGTTGGTTTGAGTCACGCTCAGATCTGCTGTGACTCACTCTGGGCTTCCTCTGAGAGAATAAAATCCAAACATGAACACCCTTTCTGTGTGTGTGTGTGTGTGTGTGTGTGTGTGTGTGTGTGTGTGTGTGTGTGTGTGTGTGTGTGTGTGTGTGTGTGTGTTTTAACAGGACATGGAGGTGAGCCCCAAAGAGCTGATGGACATCCTCAACAGAATCATCGGCAAACGTGAGTCTGACTAAGGCCTGACATGTTTTGTTTGGCAATGATAATATATATGGTATTTTAGTTATTATTTATTCCTTATTCTATACTTTGTGTTCTTGCTTTCAGTACTTTGTAGTGTTTCTTACTGATGTAGGTTTTTTGAAGGTTATATCACTTATTGTTTGTTTCAGACGGAGGCCTGAAGACTGACGGTTTCAGCATTGAGTCCTGCAGAAGCATGGTTGCTGTAATGGATGTATCCTTTCACAAAACAAGCGCTAACAGGATACATTACCAATGAGACTGAGGACTACTGCATGTCAGCAATGTTATTAGTATTACCAGCAGCAGGAGCAGTTAGTGGTACTTAGTGATGGGCAATGACCTTGGCATGTCATCAGTATCGGCAGATAAAGGATATACCGTTTTAATCAGACTAGCTAAACAATTTTTGGAAAATATCTAATGTTGTCAATTCACACAACCACAAACACAATAGTATAATGAGTGGTGCTAGTAGAAGTTCAGAACAAATTGTGGAAGTAGAAGCAGCCGTAGCATTATTTCTAGTCCTAGAAATTGTAGTGGGCGCTGTGGCTCTAGAGGCAGACGGTTGTAGATGTTTGTACTCCAATCAGAAGGATCCCCAACCCCTGCAGTCATCATGGCGATGTTTCCTTAGGCAAAATGCTTTCCCAAAAGCAGTGGCGACGCCAGGGTATGGCTGGGGCATTACTGATTGAGATAAATCGGAACCGCGATTCAGTATCCCCATTGGATCTTCAACGTGTACTATCATACGTCACGTTCACAGTGATCCCTTTTTATTTACTACAAGACAAATGTACCGTTTTATTTCATACAGTTCCATTTGGATTGAGACAGGGGAATAATCTAAACCTCACGCGTGGCGTTTCACTGTCAAGGGGAGCGTGTATGTAATTACATTGCAAATACTGACTTGAGCCCCACCACTGCATGGGTTAGCCCTACCATAGATTGCCCAACACAAATACTCTGGCGCCGTCACTGGCCAGAAGTATGGCCAACGTGTGTGAGATAGTGAATGCTGACTTGTATATGTTAAAGTGCAGTTGAGAAGACTGGAAAAGTGCTATATAAATGCAGTCCATATACCATTTAGAAATATAAATGGTAGGAGCAGCTGAAGCAGTAGATGTAGAAGTGTAGTAGTTTACTGTTTGAGTTTGCAGAGTTCTGTTTAAATCAAACAGTATAAACCTGTGACTATGTCAAACTGCTCTGTGTTCTTTGTTGAGAGAGTTTGACCTTTGACCCCGCTCCCTTCAGAGTGACAGCACAGGGAAACTGGGCTTCCACGAGTTCAAATACATGTGGAACAACATCAAGAAATGGCAGGTCAGTTCACCGCAGAGGAAATCTTCTTCCTCTTTATAAGCTAATAATCAGTCTGCTGTTCAACTGGGTTTAGGGTTCGATTCCCAGTCTGTAGAAATACGACGTCACCACACCAACAAGCAAACATTCTGTAAAATAACTCAAAGATGTTGGGTTAAATGTTCGTTGTTTATTTTTTCAGAGTATCTACTTAAAATATGATACTGATGGTTCAGGTACCATCAGCTCTGATGAGCTGCCCAAAGCCTTTACAGCTGCAGGTAAGAAACATACTGTGTGTGTGTGTGTGTGTGTGTGTGTGTGTGTGTGTGTGTGTGTGTGTGTGTGTGTGTGTGTGTGTGTGTGTGTGTGTGTGTGTGTGTGTGTGTGTGTGTGTGTGTGTGTGTGTGTGTGTGTGTGTGTGTGTGTGTGTGTGTGTGTGTGTGTGTGTGTGTGTGTGTGTGTGTGTGTGAGAACATTGTGTATCATGTCAAACTGTGATTGTGCGTTTTCAGGTTTCCCTCTGAATGAGCAGCTCTTTACGTTGATTGTACGTCGCTATAGCGATGAGCATGGCAGCATGGACTTTGACAATTTCATCGGCTGCCTGGTACGGCTGGACGCCATGTGCAGTGAGTCTCCTCCTCCTCCTCCTCCTCCTCCTCCTCCTCCTCCTCCTCCTCCTCCTCCTCCTCCTCCTCCTCCTCCTCCTCCTCCTCACCTCTCTCATCCTCTGTCCTCTGAAGCCTAATATGTTCATAATATCTCATATTTTCGACTTTAAATTATGGTTTTATACAAGAACGCATTATTTTAACCACATTAATTTAGCCATACAAATAACTTTTGAACCTTTAAACTTGTTTTCAATTGAGGCTGTCAGTGCAATAATCAGTGTTCACGTGTTTACATGTTTTCATATGATAAATGAGTGTGTGTGTGTGTGTGTGTGTGTGTGTGTGTGTGTGTGTGTGTGTGTGTGTGTGTGTGTGGTGTGTGTGTGTGTGTGTGTTCTCTCCAGGAGCCTTTAAGACTCTGGATAAGGACAACAGCGGCTGCATCGAACTGGATATTAAGGAGGTAAAACAGTTTAGCTGTGATTCTTTAAATTCATTCACAGAATTTACAAATGTATCTATTTCCATAATAATGAGAGTAAACACAACAACAAAAACAAGGTTATCTTCTGTATTTTCAAATCCTTGTTTTCCTTTATTATTACCTTTTCCACAGTTACCACAACTTTTAACTTTAACAAAAACAGCCACCTGAGTTTGGATTGTTGTTCAGTTCTAGCTTATTTAAGGACAATATTAACGGTAATCAAACGTGTACATCAAAGGATTTCCTTAACAGAAAACGTAGTGGATGAATTTTAGTGGGCATGGGAGGGCATGTTGTTTATTCGCTCTTTGCTGTGACCACACATCTATCAGTGAATCAATATGTTATCCAGTCAGATCTTCTGTTTACAGAGGCCAGGCAGTAACACATTGTCAATGAAGACGAGAAAATACACATTTAAAGTGATTGTTCTATACTTCAGTATTGCTATGTATGGTCACTTTATACATCTATTCCACTACATCTTAGATAGCCTTCCTTATACTTCTTGTTGATTTGAATGTTTGTGATAAACTTAAAGGTGGGGTATGAAACACTTTTTGTTATATTCCATGGAATGCTCTTAACATCCCAATAGCAATGAATATATTAAATGCTTTGACAATAAACACATTAAAATGTTTAATCTGTGGAAGCCGTAGCGCTGTAAAAAGCACGACCAATCATCTGAGCCGGCCCGGCTAAAGTAACTGGATGGCCTACCTGCCTGTCAGCCTTCCATCTGAGCACACACTTATCTCGTGCCCTCATTGGTCATATGCGCGTTCGTGTGTGTTGGAGGAGGGGCTCTGTAAGGAAGTGGCAGATTTGTTCCAGTCGTGTATTTTCAAATTCTAGCGCACTCGAGCTGGTTCCTCCAAAATGACCTACCCCACCTTTAAGGATGCCGTGTTCCTTTATACATTAAGATATTCATTTTTCTTAAGATAAAGTCTTTAAAAAGTCTCTTTTTAGGAGGTAAAAGCATTTTACGGAGAAACTCCAAAAAAAGTGGCTTTTTAGAGAGACGTGTTTCTCACAAAACAGCAACAGGGCTACAAACATATGATGATCGATCAATAGATTAGGATCAATTGCTGCAGAATAAACCACGCAAAAGTAAACAAAAGCAGTTAAATGCAACATAGACATGCAGCAGTCATATTTATCCAAAAACATGATTGTACTCTTTATTTATTGACTAGGTAGTACTTTGTTCTAAACACAAAACTAATGTCTCTAAAAGCAGTGCACGTACAACAAGCAAAGACGCATGCCTTAATGCAAAAGCATTGTTTTATGAAATAGAGAAAACTAAAAAATAACCTTTAAAAAATAACAGCAAAACAATTTAGCCTACATAAGAAAATATTATTATTATTAAAAATAGCACAAATAATTGTAAAACTAAAAAGTTAAAACGATTTAAAATGAATACACATTTTCATAAAAGGGATTAAATATAAAAAGAACTAAAAAAGAACAAAAACAAAACATATAGCTATAAAAATAAATAATTTGTATTTTTTAAAAGCCCAAATATGTGTTAAACTGTGTTGAAAATAAATTAAAGTTCATATTCATATAATTCATAATAAGGGGGATTAAATTAAAAACACCAACATTTACATTTGAATAGAACTGATTTGTTTTGGAATACTTACCACTTACAATACTCGTGTAGTATTTTCACACAGTAGTACTTTATCTACAACTGGAAATGAGGTCAGGAAATGATCTGAGGAGCAGCGCACTAACTCTGCTTCTGTTTCTGTCCCTCAGTGGCTTCAGCTGACCATGTACTCTTAAGGCGACGGAGAGAAGCTGCTCCACAAAACATTACTTTATCTCATCCCGACCCCCTCCCAATCCTCTCACTACACGTGTATGTGTGTGTGCGCGCTTGCTTGTGCAATAGTACCCCGCTGTCTCCATGGGACCAAAGTGTCAGCATAGAGCTCAAGTCAAGAAAAAAACCAAAGTGGGACCAAAGTGGAGCTGAGGCTGACTGTTGCACCGTCCTCCTGCTAGCCTCCCATCGTTACAGTTTTCTATGTATTGTGTTTTACAGCCAATTATAGACGATTATTGTTTTTGAACGGCAACTCAATAAAGTGAAACAACTGACATTCAATTTCTGATGCCACCTGTGATTATTTCTGTTTTCTTGCAAGTTGTGTTTCTTCCTGTTGTGTTCGGGTCAAATCTGACCGATGTACTACTTTCATCAATCATAACTGTTTTGTTTCCCATTCGATTGCATTAAGGCTTTATGATATCCTTCACAGTAGACATTTGAACATATACAATTGCTGATCACCACTTTCATTGAATTCTGGATGATTTAGTCAACTTTGTAACACCATGGTGTTCCCGGTCAAACATGACCGCCATAAAGAAAAGGAATTAGTAACAATCCGGATCAGATAAAACACACACACATACTCTAGATGTGTCCCCCCCCCCTTATGTGCCCAATCCCCCCACATGGATCACACCTGGCACACGCAATACATGTTCAGTGTCTGTTCTTTGTATATTTACTGCAGTTTTTCATGTATACCAGTAGTCTGATACAATATGTACAGTTTGAAAGGGTGTTAAATGACATTTGGTGCTGATTAATGGCTTTTGTGTTAATGTAATAGCAGTTTAAACAGGACCGGTCAAATTTGACCGCGGACACCAAAGTAAGGGGGGGGGGACGAAGACAATAGGAGGGTTAAAACAAATCTGTTATTTTTAATACGGGATGCAATCGTGTCTCATAACAGCACGGTACTTTTTTTGTTTTATTCCAAACAAAAAGGGAAATTCTGATGTTTTACTTTCAATGTGACGGAAAAAGAGCCTCCAGGCAGTGACTGGTTAGAAAATAAAGATGGACTCATTATTAGGATAACAGGTGCCAGCTTATTTTGTATATTGGATTACACCATACATTGATTTTGACTTTGTGGTTTTAATATAGTTGATGGATTTCTTGAAATCTTTTGACCTTAAACTACAGTTTTAGATATTGTAATTGACCTGCTTTTTGGAACAGTCTCCTGCTGGGTCAGAGAAAATAGGCACCTTTGAGATAACGATCTTTAACACTTGGGGGGTATACTACGAAGCAGGATTTTCGCTTAGCTGGCTAAATTCAGGGAAAACTCCGGCTTTCCGGTCCTACGAAGCTGGTTCTCTTTTTAGCAGGCTAGATCTCCATGGTAACTTATGCTTAGCGGCTAACCTGGGGGGTATACTACGAAGCAGGATTTTCATTTAGCAAGATAACTTCTGGGATTTCCGGTACTACGAAGCTGGTTCACTTTTTAGCGGGCTAGATCTCCATGGTAACTTATCCTAGAATATATATAATATATATATATATAATATAATAGAATATGGCTCTGAGTAATCCCAACAGGCCACCTTGTTTATGGTTTGATTCAGTTTTACATTACATTTATTTGATAACTTCAGTTAACTTTGAAGATTCCGAACACTACAAAATATGATCAAGACATATTTTATCATGTATTAGCCTATAGTAGAAAGTAGAAATAGTTTGAGTAGTTTTTAGTAGAAATATCCCTTACAATAAAGGCAGTATAGTATGCCCGTGTGTCATCTCCAATAAATAGCTTCAACCATCCTTTAAACTCAGGGTTTGATTCCCACTCCTTTCTGTACTTTTGTGAATACAGTTTAGACTGTGACATGATGACCTACGTGGATGTTTAGCTTGTCACAGAGAGGCACACACACAGTGGACGAGGTGATTAAGTGACTGAAGCTGTCTCGACGTGGGAGTGTGGCTGTCTCCTCTCTGCTCTGACTGCAGCTGAGCTGCTGCGGGAGGCAACTGTGAGTCTGCGCGCCTGTCAGTACTATGGGAGGGCTGAGGGGCTCACCCCCAGTTTCCACTGGGTCCGTCTGCGCCGCGCTGCGCCGCGCTGCGCCGCGCTGCGCCGCGTCACGGCTGCGCCGCGGTTTTGGTCCGACCTCCTCTAGCGCCATAACCCACCGGACGCTAGTGATGGGAATTCCGATTCCCTTCGGGGACACGAATCTTTTGATTCAGTTCACTTGAAAGATTTGTTCACTGATTCGTTCACTGATTCGTTCACCGGTTCGCGAACGACTTCTGGTGATTTGCACGTTCGCGAACGATTCGTCTTTGTACTTAATTCGTTCAGTGAGTCTTCACTACTGCCGAAGTCCGTACAAGAAGTTTGCTGGCGTAACATTTATGATATTAAAACACATTTTACACTTCACCTTGTTGCCCCATGAATTATGCTCTGGGAATAAGCTACATATTATTTAAGAAATATAATTGGCCATTGTTAAATCTCATAAATGTGTGCCTGACTATACGATGTATTACAGCAGGCGCGTGTGGTGGAATAGCACCCATTGACTAGAGTGGCCGCATTTCTTACGACCGCCGCGGCGCAGACGTAACGCGGCGCAGCGCGCCGCAGACGGACCCGGTGGAAACTGGGGGTCACGGCAGCTCGTTAACTGCAGAACAATACGTGAGTCTCCAAACACCAGAAAAGTCCCTAATAACACCATTACAAGTCGTTAGATCAGTCGTTAGTCGCTTTTGACAAAAATAAGTAGCCGGAGGGTTTGGAAAGCCGCCAAATGTAACGCCAAAGTCGCCAAGTTGGCAACACTGGTCTGTGTCTGGTCTGTGTGTGACTTCTTAAATCGTTTGTTTACGTCCCTCACTTCCGTTTCGCTTCTGATTCGCTAGCTGAACAGCCAATCAGAGTGATTGCTTGGTCCGACTGCCTGACCCGATGCATGGCCGATTCAACATGTCAAAAACTTGTGCCCCACTGGACTTACTTTTCTGTGGTTGACCGTTACTGTGACATCAGTATAGCCACGGAAGATAGTTTGTGTGATTCATTCCCATGCATCAAGGTTATTGTCATGTAGCCTAATTGTTTTTCCTGCACAGTGTAGAGTCTTGTTGTGATGAGAGGGATACAGGTATTTCATTAAAAAAACGTGCTCCCTGGAGAATAGCTACAGAATGTATATCACAATTGAATCGGAGCTGATCACAACTTGTCATGAGTGATCCAGTCATCTCGATGAGCGTTCGGGGCTGTGAATAAACAACTTGTGTTTTACTTTTAGGCTGTCTGAAGGTATGGACAGCTATCAAAGCTACTATACATCACATTAAGAACGATGTACAAATGAAAGTCGGACACAAATATATCATTTAAATGATTTATTCAAGTTTGCAATATTTTGAACAGGCATCCACACAGTCACCTACTTTGTAATGTTCGATACCTCCCTGTAAGCGCCACGATATCCACCTCTCACCCACAACCTCACATACGAGTACTGAATGTGCATCAAAGTGATCTTAGGAAGGCAGATATAGCAAAAGATTAACGTAAACGACAAACGAGGCGATCGACATGTTTATTTCCTGGTAAGTCAACAATGGGTCCTCAATGTACACGCCCCGGTGCTTTACAAAAATGAAAGACATTCAGACAAAGGCATTTAAAAACAGTAAAAGATAATAAAAGAAACATTAAAAGAAAAAATACATGAATAAAAAGTACGTGAATAAAAAGTTACAGTGCCGTTTAAGATATGAATAGTTCACACAGAAGTTCCACACTACTGATGAACACAACGGCTCAGTTTCAATTAAAAGCAGCATACATTCAGGAAGTATGACGCTGTGCTGTCAGTACGCTTCTCCATGTTTGTGATTGGTCGAATGCTCCAGATACCACCCCTTTCATGTGAACGTGCACCTAACTAGATAGGACACGGCTGGCTTGAGCGATCCACTTGATAACCAGCGTCGTAGTACAGTTTAGCGAGAGCGCGTATGTTTTGGATTAGGCCAACCGGCTAACTCAAACATATCCAGGTTAGGTTGAACCAGCTTCGTAGTACAGGCCCCTGTTCCTGCCAAGAAAGGGGACAATAACAATGTGAGACCAAACGTGAGGAAATCAGAATTCAACATTAAGAAAAGGAAGCTTAGAGTAGTTGAACTGGTCCAATCAGTCAACATATAGTCCTTTGATTTTCAGGGTGATGATAAAAACCACCCTGCTTCAGTTCAAGTTCAACACATTATTATGTCATTTAAAGGGGACCTATCATGCAAAATGCACTTTGTGGTGTCTTGTATACATAAATATGTGTCCCCGGTGCGTCGGGGAACTCACGCAGCGTCAGAAAATAAAACCCTCTCTCTTTTCCTCCGTACCCAAATCTTTTAAAAACGGGTGTACAACGATATACAGATTTCCATCCGAACTGACGTCAGCGGACCCACAGAAAGTTGCTATCAGAAACAATGCCTGACGTGTTTTGGACGTCTTTGTTTACATTAGCAAGCCTCGCTAACACTCAGAGCTAACCTGTACTGAAGAGCACATGTGTTTAAAAAGCAGGAAATAAAGAAAGGAACTCACTTTGTGATAAACCTGCAAGAGAAAAAGCATTTGAGCTCCATACTGGTTCAGAAATAATCCTTGACGTGGTTTAAACAGGATAGCGTTTTATCACAGCAGAATTTAACTTTATCTCCGGTAGAATTCTGATCAGGCATTAGCTCCGCCTCCTCTTTTTTTATTTTCAAGCTAAGGACCCAAAATCTGCATTTCTCTAACAGGGCTGCAAAAGAGGGGTATGAGCAGTATGAGGCATGGATACAATGGGTGAACTGTTTGGTATTTTAAGCAAAAAACTTCACAGACATGTTTTGTATAGGTATGGCCCTACAATATATTTTTCAAATATAGCATGATAGGTCCACTTTAATTAAAATAGCAGTCATTTAAAAAAATATGATTTGAATGTGACGTCATAGCTTTTTTTATATATCTAAAACATAGAGCTGACATCTGTATTTCTATAGAGGGATACAGAAGTGTGAATTCAAGTGTGGATTTAAATAGCAAATATTATTATTTGTATTTATTATCATAGCTAAAATATTCGTTTTGGAAAGATGTGGGGCGGGCGGGGCCGACATGTAGGATGTGTTCGTGTGTGTGCGTGTGCGTGTGTGTGTGTGTGTGTGTGTGTGTGTGTGTGTGTGTGCGTGCGTGCGTGCGTGCGTGCGTGTGTGTGTGTGTGTGAAGCAGGAGG